ATTCTGGAGAAAGCTCTTATATGTCTGAAGTCTCATGTCGTATGATTGTTCTTTATTATTCCTCTGCGCACGCGGAGACTGATGCACCTGGGAAACAGTGAAGCTATTTTCTCTGTTCTTAACAGAAGTCAGAAAATATTCATCCAACAGTTTTCATGGAGGAAATCACCAGGAGTTTCACATTAGAAATACTTGAAGCAGAAAAACAGAGCATCACATCAGCACAATACAAAGGGTTAGAAAGAGGAAAATGGATCACAGTAACACCGGAATCACTCAGATTATGTAAAAAAGTTGATATTGCACTTTAATCACTCCACACTGTCAACAGACTAAATAAAAACTGGGAACATCTAAGTTCATACTGGTTCAGTTTCCACACTAACAGGAATTAAAAACAGCTCACCTCTCTGATGGTGAGATCCAGGAGATTTAAAGTCATGACAATACCCTTTGACATGTCGCTCTTCAAGGACACACAGCTGGGTTCTGGTTCTGGTTCTGGTTTGAGTCTCTGATGGATCCTGACAGAAACATGATGATTAAAACTTAATCAGCAAAGAGGAGCAGCAGCAGCTTCATCACCACGTCTGTTCTGGCCTGATATAGTGAACGCTGTGTGAAAAGGGCTGTGGACAGTTAGAGATGGTGACCTCACCTCGACTTTGCTCTGGCTCTCATCTTCCCCACACAGAGTGGTTTTAGAGGGAGGGACTCCCTCCTCTCTGTCCTCACACTGATCCATGCTGCTGAATCCACATCAGCTCACACACACTTTCTAGCTTCAACTGCAGAGGAAACACACATCATTCATCTGTACATCAACTCTGATCATCCTTTACATCATTAGTGCTGGAAAAAGATCAGCTGCTCCTCCTCTGATTGGCTCTTCTTCTCTGCTTCATATCAGTGTCAGGTGAATGCAGTCAGACAGCAGAGAGGCAGAGGAAGCTGCCATCAGCTGCTGCACTTCTACTATCAGTCCACTAGATGGAGACATGGAGCAACATTTACATTCACTGATTCAACCTGAACAAGTCTTATAGTTCACAATTAGTAATTAATACAAGTGGATTATTTGCTCCATTAAATGTTAACTATTTAATAATTTGACTGAATCAATAATAATATTTTAATAATATTTTATTTTGAAAGGAAGCAACAGGAAACTGTTGCTGACATTAATGGTGGAGACTAGAGTTCAGTACCAGGAAATAAAAACATGAATCAGTTGGAGAGAAAACAGTGAAACATCAGCTGTTCATCATGTTGATTGATTCCAGTTCATCAATAATCTAATAATCCTGTAGATTAGCCTTCAAATAGCAGATGTTAAAGTTTCAGCTGAAATCAGAAGTGAAACTTTTCTCCAAACATCTGAGATTAGAAACAATCAGGAAAAAGTTAAAGTGATAAAAAAAATCAATTAATAAACAAATTAAACTTACAGTTTGTTCAAACGATCCAAAGAGTTAAAGAAGAAAATTTAAACAACAAACTGAAACCCGACAAACGGACTGGAGCCGCACCTGAACAGGTAATCAAACTGAAAGTAAATGTGACGGATGTTGCATAACTGATGACGTCACAGCTCACCTGACTTGTAGTTTTTTCCTCCACAGCAACAGAACCAGGAAGTAGAAGCTCTGAGGTGAAATCAGAGGCAGGTTGATAAAATCTTCATGAGGAAGAAGAGAAGTTCTGATAAAATGAAGGTGTACTTACTTTTGATCATGACTGTAGTGATGATTGATAGAAACAGAAAATACTAACAGTATTTTAGTTTATTCATCATGTCATAACGAAAAAGTTGGAAAATGCATTTTTCAAACAAATATTTTCATCATGTCATCCAAACGTTCATTATAAACTAAATATTTAATTCACAATCTAAATATTTACTTTGATTGTAAACAAAATTTTTGGGAAATAAAACTTGTTAAATTTGGTTCAAAATAAATATTTATTTTACAAACTTAACATTTAATTTTCAAATTCAGTATTTATTTTCCAAACTACATATTTAATGATCTTTTTCATGTCTAGTTGTTCAGTCAGACGCTCCATCATGTTGTCATGTTTCAGTTTTTCTCCATTCAGCAACAGTTGGTGAACTGGGTTTAATCCAGTTTAGTCTAATTGTCTTTCTTGCTACCAGCAGCAGAAGGTGCAACAATATGTAACATTGATGTTTAGTGAGTAAATCCTTGGTGTTTATGTTCAGCAGAAACAGAAGAGGCTCCATGGGGAGATCTGTCCTCAGAATGTCCTCAGTCTCCTGTTTCATTTCCTCCCAGAAAGTCTTTATTTGTGGTCAGAACCAGAAGACGTGTGTGATGACCGACCATTCAACACATTCCTCCAACATCCATCTGTGGTTGGAATCCTGGAAATGAACGTTTTGAAAGGAGTAACACTTTATTTGACACAGTGTGTTCTATTAAATATGGTTTTTACTTTCCAGTCAAACTCTTTGCACGTTTGATTTCCAATCCTTTTATGGCACAAAAATGCAAATGAGAAAACTCCACTCTTGTTTTATCAATCTCCAGTTCAATCCAGTAAATTGATTAACTCAATTTTCCAAACAATCCACAAATGGAGTAAAACTGGACCATATTTATGGTTTTGACCTCATTCCTCTTCAGAGATACCACTGCAACTCGTATCAATGGCTCCTCAGAATGACCAGTGGGACGCTCTGGATGGAGACTGAACTACAACACTAAAAGAAGTTTTAAACTCACTTTTCAGTTTGCTAATTGGACAAATTTTATTCTGTAAGATAATAAATTGCATGGTTACACAAAACCAATAAAAAAGGTAACTATTGCCACATTATGGAGTAATCAATCATGGTGAATATCTGCCACAAAAATTCATTCTTGAACAAGATGGCTTTTCCCAGAAGACAGTATTACATTTTAATAAAAAGTGGGTGGAAAGAAAAACTGTGAAAAAAAGATGCACATATGAAATTCACCATTTCTGGAACAATGACATTCCAACATATGTGAAGTAGATTTTCTTTAAAGAGAAAATGTTTTATTTGCATCATACAGTGTTCTTTTATCTATCACATAAATGTAATTGTATCATAGTCAAGATGTTTTTCGGTGCAGCTGCAGAGGGTGTACAAACTAACTGAACAAGATGCATCTGCTGAAGTTTCCCAGGCGGGTCGTCTGGGAACTTAATCTTCTCCTCTGTTAGCTGAGAGGTGAATAAAGCAACTATGTAACTCTGAGTTCGTTAGAGCAGATTTAGATTTTCGCCTAATGCAGTATTTTTTTTTCCAGTCTGAATGTTCAGAGACTGAGACTTATCAGTCTCTGAATTGTGCACTTCACACATATTCAGATGAACTTTTATGGTTAGTTCACAATGGAAAAATCTGAGTTGATTTCATCTGAACATTAATTCAATCTGGAGAGACTTAGACGGAGAAAATGGAAACCATTAAAAGTTTATTGACATACAAAATTTAAGTCTTTGGCGCTTGGGCCCCGGCTGAGGACATCGATCATCACAATCTTTGCGATGAGCTGGATGAGCATTCCATATGCTGAAAGGAACGTCATCCCCCGAGACCAGACATTGGTGATGGAGGTGAAGAAAGGATGCAGCCGGAGAGCCGAGCGAGTGGAGGTGAAGGGGTGGAGGAGGGTTGAGCTCTGCTGGAAAGCAGAAGACGCCATGGACGGTGCTATTTATCAGCTGGGACTTGGACAGTGATTGGACGTGACGCGTCTTGGACCAGCGTTGATTAATCAATGGTGATGAACAGGAAGCAACGGTTGGATGATGCAGGTGGGGTTAGAAGAGACTTCCAGTTTGAATTTGCACCTTTTTCCTCACAAAGTGCAATAAGATCTATTATAAATTTGCCCAGTATAAATACACTGATTTCACTGTGAAAATTACGTTTTAGTCTGTGTAAGAAATAAAAGACATTTCCATACAAGTCTTAAATACTTTATACAAAATATTGAGTGGAAATCATACACAGTGAGACAGATTTAAAGAGACGTGACAGTCCAATGAAAACTCCAGATAAATGCAGTGATTTATGGTCAAAAGTTACAAAAATGTGCAATAATTAAAAAAACCTAAAGTGAAAACTTAACTTGGCACAAGGAAATATTTGCTCCATCAACAGAAACATTGAATTACTGAGGGAAGGTAAGAGGCTGGATCTGTAGTTTAATTTCATCCATTAAAAAGCTGCTGAAACAAAAAGAGTTCAAAATAAATCGCTGTCTACAGAAAATACAAAGAAATGGTAAATAAAAAAACATGGGATTGATACTCAGCATGACAGATTACAGCTTACATAAAATCACTAAAATGAAAAATACAAAATGTTAAGTTCACCAGTTTGATGTCAGTCTGGAGAAACAATATGCAAATTATAACGATTACAAGGTAAAGAGATTAAAAAAACATAATTTTTATAATTAAGGCCACTCGTATGAAGAGCAGAATAAAAAACAAAAAAGGAGAGAAATGTAAACTTGTAATTATTCCAACTCAAGTCCTGCTGTGCAACTCAGTTTGTAACAAAACCCAAAAAACTCAAAAATGTCAAAAAATGGAGCAGAAATCAGATCAAATCTTTAAAAGGGAAATAAATATACAAAAATATAAATAAAATGGCCATGACATGCAGAAAACAGAGAGAAATAAAAATACTACCGATAGAGGATGAAATGAAGCGATGAGTTAAATTCAAACATTTTTCATGTGAAAACGAGGATTAGCATCGTTTCTGCATGACAAGGCATTTTCCTGCTCAAACTGTTAGAAAACAAATTGTGATTTGTAGTTTTTCTTTGCTAAGTGAAGTGAAATATTTGACTTGTGCTCATTAAAAACAGGGATTTCTTTCCTTTACATGAACACACATTCACAGCTTGCAGAGTGTAAGGCTTGAACCACTTGGCCACACTTTGGGAGGGGTGGGTTGGATTATTGCACAAGAACACTCGGGGCGGGTGGGTTCTTATTCGGCCCTTTGACAGGTTCTGGATGGGTTCTGTCTCCTCAGTAGAGGCGGACGAGACTTAAAAAAATGTGAAGTTGAAGAACACTGGAAGCTGGTGAGGTTTTACACAGCAGCCAAGACAGGTCAGAGGTCAAAGCAGTGCCACTGCATCAAGCAGAGCCTCATCTTCCCTCCTCTGCTGATCGGGTCTCGGACTTGAGCCGGACGAACTCCTTGGCGACGTCGTCGTTGGAGCGCTGGGAGAGGATCCGCATGGCGGTCAGGCCCGTGTCGTCCATGGAGATGCGCTGCCCCAGGGGGCACCAGCAGGCGCAGTTGCCCCTCTCCATGATGTCCCTCAGCTGCACCACGGCCAGGCCCACCACCCGGTCGGCGCGGCCGAAGCAGTAGTCCTTGACGCAGGCTTGAACCTCGTAGCACTCGAACCCGTCCTGAACACCCAGAACGCTGCAGAGCGAGAGCAGAACACAGGAGTGGGAGCACATGGCTAGGGCGCTAATTGCAGAGCTAATTCCTGATTTTGTGCTTTTTCTGAAACTTTAAAAACATTCGTACACCTAGCTTTTGATGATCTAATTTTCCATTTTAAATCAAAACATTTTACTTTTATTTGAGGTCCACATCTGCAGTGGTAGATTACACTATTGCTAATCTGCTAATATGCTAATAGCAGAGCAAATTTGTTGTGCAACACATTTTGATTCCCCTAAATCAGTTTCAAGTTAAATCTAAAGCACTAATGTACTTTTGCTGTTTTCTACACTTTCAGTTGAATAAAGTTTGACATCTGCAGCAGAAGGGACACTTCCATTAGCTGCTAATGTGCTAATAGTAGAGCTAATTTTAGCTTTTTTTAAATAACTTTTAAAACTATTGCCACACAATTAATTTCTTAAAATAAATCCAGATTTTATTTGGAAAAGTTAAATTTGAGGAAGTTCACTAAATGTTTAGCAGAAACACTAAATGAACAATTAGCTGTGCTGCTAGCGCATTAGCTGACATTGTCCAGTAATTTCACAAGGACTTTGTTTTGTGTAACCAACAGTTTATGAAGTCAGAATTAAAAGAGCTTCAAATCCTAAATGTGTCACGACGTTTGGTTTTGAACTTACAAGTGAAAGGTCTCGTTGTATTTGGGAGACCAGCTGTTGTTCTTGGATTTGGTCTGAAATCGGCGCTTCTTGTCGCTGAGGTGCGGCCCGATCATCGTGACTTCCACGAAGGGTCTGAACATCCCAGACGTCTGCCACTTCAAATCACTGGCTGCAATCACTGCATCAATGACACAAACATTTAAACAGAAATGACACTAAAATGCTCCAGCTTTGATTTTATTGGTTCAAAATGAGCCCAAACGGACCTTTGAGAGTAACTTTCCGCTCTCCGCTCTTGGGATGAGTGTACAGCTCAATCTGCAGGGAAACCTCTCCGATGGGTTTGTCCACAGCTGAGCCTGGTTTAACACAAACACATTTGGTCCAATGCAGGCAAAGAAAACCACGTTTTATAGAGTCATGCGACGGAAACGCAGGTTTCACAAAACAGAAGAGAGAAAACGATGAAGGGAAGTTGGGCTGATGATGATTTATGGAGACCTACCCCTGCTGGGCTGGATTTCTCATTAGGGGTTAACCTAATACCCTTCCCATTGTGCACTGGCACAGAGGCAGCAGGAGATAAAAACAAGACAGCAACTTAAACAACCAAATCCAGGAGACAAAAGCAGCGAGGAATCTGAAACTCTCCCGTATTTAATCTCCTTTGAGGCGTTTTGGATCTACCCTGTGAATGCTGCGTGGTCACGAAGGTTTTGATGAGCGTGTCGGTGGTCTGGGTGTAGAGCGACAGAGCGTGGCGGAGCGACGAAAGCTCAGCGCTCTTCTCCAGGAAAGTCTTCTTCAAGCCGTTCCCGCCCGCATGAAAGTATTGCTGCGTAGGAAACAAAACGAGAGGAATCAGCGTTCTACAACCTGAATGATTAAACTTAAAGTGGAGTTAATCAGACTTTTAGTTGATCAACTAAAAGACTCTTAAAATGTGAATGAATTGTACTTTTCTGTTTGACCAGGGGTCAACGTTTCGCTCTCACCTTGATGGTATCCAGAGCCACATCCATGACGGCACACTGCCTGGGCGTCAGGTTTTAGCGTCTCCTGCCATGTGATCCTAAACAACCCAAACCAAGACTTTGACTAGACCAATTCACAGGAGAAAGCAAACTCAAAGGCAACCTGATACCTTCAGTTTGGAAAGGTGTCCCAGTTCTTTAGCAGCAGAAAGGATCTGTGCTCCCTTCAGGAAAACAGAAAAATGAATGATTCTTTTAGTTTTCAGAAGCCTTGTTTCAATTTTAAGTATCATATTAGTAAAGTTTGATGGAGATGGAAAAAAAGCATCGATACAACTCATGTTCAGACATAAAGTGAGTTATTTATCTGCTCTGTATGTGATTGGATGATGTTCAGTTTGTTGACTAATAATTAAACTGAATATGCCACAGTCATCATTTTAAAACATAATGGATAAAAATATTTTTTGTGTTTGGTCACGTCTGTCAAAATGTTTACATCTCATCATGACACAATTACGAGTTGATCCATTTCAAAATGGCAGCCATGTTTCCATCCAGCTGTGATTCAAATTTTGAGCAAATTTTATAATAATGTATAAAAGAAAATGCAAATTACACTGCAAAACCATAAACTCTTACCAAGTATTTTTGCTCTAGTTTCTAGTGCAAATTTGACGAATGTGAATTACATTTAACTTTTCTTTTGGGATCAATAAAGTATGTTTGAATTTGAATTTAAAATATCTCAGCACATTTTAAATAAGACAAAATAACTTATAGTAACTTATCAGAAGAAGAAGCTTGTTTTAAGTAGATAATTCCTTAATATTGAAAAAAAAAGTAGTTGGCAGATTATTTAATTTAAGGGAAAAATGATTTGTTATAAGGGAAATAATCTGTCCTACACAAAATAAGTTCATTATATTTATTTTGCACAAAATTATTGAAATAAAATGAGATTTTAGTCTGTTATTATTTCCCTTATAACATTGCAAAAATATTTGATTTAGGTGAAATAATCAAATTTGATCAGCAATATTAAGAAATTATTGACTTAAAATAAGCTTCTACGATAGTTTCACTGACAACTAGATCAAAAATATTTGGTAAGGTTGTTTTTGTTATGTAATTCACACTTTTTGACAACATTTCAAAACCATCTGGATGGAAACCTGTCCAGTGACGGAGACGAGCGTCAGACTCACCAAGGTGTCGTTCCCTTGCGGCAGGACGATGTTCTTCTCCAGGCTGGTCATCACGATCCTCCACAGCTCCTTCAGAACGCGCTTCAGGACGGTTTTCTCACACACCGTGGCGAACAGCGTTAATCTGCAAAAACAAGACGTTCACTCACACGCCGACGGACGAGCCGTGTTTGGGGAAATCCACTGAACCCACTGCGCATCCAGGAAGTCCATGAGCGGCCGCAGCATGTTGTCCGAGTCGCCCTCCACCTGGTTCTTGGTGTTTTCGTTGAGCGGTCCTTTGATCTGGTACAGCAGCGACGCCATCTGCCGCATGCAGTCGGTGATGCGGCTCTGGAAGCTGCAGGAGAAGAAAAGCCAGTGATGCACTGGGGACAAAGTGGGGGAAACGTGGGGGTGTGAGGGCGGCGTACCTGTTCCCAAACGTGCTGCTGAGGTCGTCCAGAACGTTGTTGAGCCGAACCTGCAGGTCGTTGAGCAGGTCGCTGGCCTCCGTGTCCATCTGGAGGAGAGAAACCTTCAAGTTCAAAAGGCTGACAAAAGGTTTTAGAGAAAGAAAAAGGGAAATAAAACTGGGAAGTTTTGGGATTTTACTGAGACTCAGAACCTGGAAGCTAAATTACTTCTAAAGCTGAATTATTACAAAACACCTGAGAGTCTACGGTTGCATTACGAGTCCGTTAAACACCTTGTTGGTGTAGTTTGCATTTCTACTCATAATAACATGCATGTTACAGTTCACCTCCTGTAACACGCATGAACTCACCTCATGATCCTCACATGCATTTTCTCTCTATGTGGCAGAAAGTTGGGAGGTAAAACAAGACATTTTGGATGAAATGCCCCATTTTGACACTCATCAAGTGGAAATTGCATATTAAGAATCTAATTTAGGATATTCTGCTTGTGCCTACCTTCTCAAACGGTTCGTCCATCTTTGTGTCAGAAAATTGTTAGAGATATAAAAAAAAAACACAAACAGTGTCAAACTGTCCTGAAGAGGTGGAGGAGCTGTATAAATCCAAATGATTTCTGGACTTTTTGGTGAATATTAAGGTGATTTAATCCCAGATAACATGTTTAACCCACCTCATCCTTCTCAGTCTATCACACATGATTTAAAAAGGAACAAATAAAGTGTTAAAATGAAAAATACAGTTGAAGGTGACGTGAAAGTGGCGCTTTTATGGAAATAAGGGAAAATGCTGCTAATCTAAAGAGGAAATCCTCACAGATGAGAATCAAACCAGACAACAAAACTCCACCATGTTGGATGTTTTAGTTTCAGTTTGGGGAAAATCTTTGGAAATGACTTTGGATTTGGAGAATGAAGGATGTTAAAAACCACTTTCAACTGCAACAAACCTCTGCCTCCATTTCCTCCCCTTCCTCTTTAACTTCCTCCTCTTCCTCACTTCCTTCAAACTAGGAGTTGCAGTAAAGAGGCAACAAAGGTTTTGTCTTGTTGCTTATTCAGATAATTGTGCAGTGGTTTTTTTAAAGTTATTTTTAAGGCATATATGCAGTCATGTTTTACATGTTTGCATATGCAGTGGACTTGCCTGCCATGCTAGCGCGCTGTTCTTCAGCTAGAAAAGCAGAGAAAAGGTAGAGAATGTCTTTCTCCAGCCACAATTACAAGAACTGACTTTATATTGAGTTAAAACGTGGATACTATCAGAGAAAAACAAAATATTACCATTTATTTTTGGTCTAGTTTATTGTTCAAGTACATTTGGACACTTAAAATAAGACAAACTAATTTACAAGTAACTTTTTAGAAAGATATATGAGCTTGGAGGGAGTTTGAGATGCATTAAGTCTTAGAATATTCTTCTTAAAAAGGAAAACCTGCAGATTTGTCTGCACAAAAACTTTTGAATTTCATATTAAAATGTTAATTTAACAGAGTGATTCGTATTTTCCCAGGCAGCCTTAATTTTCTTTTATATGATTTCAACATGGTGCATTTCCTAACAATCAATAACAAATCAAATTGATATGATGTCAAAACTGGAATCTATCACTAATTTGAACACTTGACCCTCAACATCAATGTTGGAGAAACATTATCGTCATTGATAATGTAATAATAGCAATAGTGTTACAACAACACTATTAAATAATAGTGTTGTTGTAATTTCAAGGCTGCTGTTTCTCTGTCAGATTCCCTCAGGTCTCCACAGCAGAGAGATGGATCACGGCGCTCTTCCTCCACCTCCTCGCCGCGCCCCATCCTCATCCTCCACCACCTCCACTGAGTTCTGATGGTCGGTTCAGATCCTCTCTGGAGATCAGACACCAGAACAGAGGCGGATCAGAACCAAAGCCAGCAGCTCTGCTGAAGCTCAGGAGAACTCTGAGTCCAGATGTGGACCCTGGTCTCCTCCAGAACCTCCTCTGTTCTGCTGTGGAGGAACTGTGTGGCTCCAGTTCTGCAGCAGGACCTTCTCAGCTGCAGCAGAAGAAGAAAGGACTTCCTGTGTTCAGGTTGGATAGAAACCTGGATATTTTCTAGCTTGTGGTTCTGCTTCCAGCGTAGATGTTCTCCAGGGTTCTGATCTGGATCTAGTGGACTGTAGAGCTCATCAGGTTTCCTCTCATCCACTTTGAGATCTTCAGCCTCCTTTAGATTCAACCTGAAGCTTCTTCTGACAGATTAGCTGCAGCTGATATTTAGCATGATGTTTATTATTCTAGCCTCAGTTTTCTGTTCTTCATGTGACTCCACTGAATCCAACTCTGATGTCGTTCACTTCACAAGTGATGAAGATCCTTTTTTTTTTTCACTTCCTGCTGATTTCTTTCCAAAGCTCCATTTTTTCCAGGAGGATCTTCAATGTTCTCTTTAGATGATGAAGGAACTCAGACTGACTCCACCCGGCTGGTGCTCCAGGTGAGCAGAAACAAACAAACCCTGAAGTCATCTCTGCAGACCAGCTTTAGATTTGGACCAACTGAACATCAAGCTTCAGTAACGTCTCAGTTAAAGTTTGTTTCCAGATCTGAGATCAGAAAGTTCTGGAACAAACTGGTTGCTCTCCAGTTTGATGATGTTTCCAACCTGAATGTTCATCCATTTTTCTTCTCTCAGCCTGGAAAGAAAATCCTCCAAATATCTGGCTTGATAAAAAACTGTTTTATTAGTAAAATCTTGGAATCTTGACTCACTCTTTGTGTATCAGGACTTTCACCTTGCAGTTATTCACCTGAAATGAAGAGGAATTGTTTATTTTGGTCTAAGAATAAAATGTTTTGTAAGGATCATGTAATCACATCCTGGAAAATCCTTCAGAGTTTATCTTTGCTCTAAAGTTATGAAAACCCGAAACCTCTCCCTTTTTAACAGAGATCAATAACCAAACACTCTGATCTTTGCTTAATCTGCCAGTTTGACAAATATAAATGAACATCGCTTCAAAATGTGTGTATTTTATGAGTGGGAAAGTGTTTCTGAAATGGAGCAGGAAATACATTTCATAACAGCTGATTTGCATGTGATCAAGACAAGAAGGCAGCGGTCAACACACACACACCCAGTGGTGTGTTCACACACACTCTGCAGAACTTTGTGTTCATCAGGAGGTCGATTGTTTCAGGTTTGAGCTAAAACAGAAGCAGCAGCACTTCCTCTACAGGAGAAAACACACGAGGTCATGAGGTCAAGCTTTGTGACAGTAAATAAAACACATGAATAATCTCTTGGTTTGCCAAATTATAATAAAACATGATATTTATGTTATAAACAATTAAATAATTTTAGCTTGGATTGGCTGAACACATCATAAATCACTGATTCATTATAAAAACTTTGACTAGACTCAGAGTAGACTTATGTAAATATACATGATGAAGTATTTAAATTCAGCATTTCACTGAAAAAGTAATTAAAGTGTAGATACAGGGATAAAGATTAGCATGCTAACCCCTCAGGTTTCCCATCAGCCACTTGGGTTTCAGGATGACCAACATTTTAAACATGGCTGCTAATTTTGAGCCTTTTAAACCAGATATGGACATTAAATGTTCCCTGTTAGAGATTCAGGTTTTAACTTATGGATCTTTGTCAGTAAATTTGATTTAATTATTGGGGAAAATAAAAAAAAATTGTCAAGGAATAAACTAAAAATTAGGTTTTTGGAGGTGAAATGATTAATTGTTGAATAAAAATGGAAAATTAATCATGTAGGATTAATGAGATTATTTTATTGTGAAATTTTAAACACATTACATTTGTACTTTCACTTTGTGTAAAGAGTATTAAGTACTAATTGAATTCATATAAAACATGCAGTTTTTTCATGTTATTGAACGTAGGCAGCCTTCAAAATGAGCGGTCCTTATTTTTCTGTGATGCTTCCAGTCTCTGCGTTGTCCTGTTTCCCCTTGATTGTTCCCAGGTGTTTCTCGTTTCTGTGATTACCATCTGTGTATTTAATCCCACGGTTGTCCTTTGTTCCTCATCGGGTCCTCATCGTTCTTCACGTCATTTTGTCAAGCCTGTTCTTCTGTCCACCAGGATGAACAGTTGCTACAGGCGTTGAGCCCTGGCTTCAGCTCAGCCATGCTGCCTGTTTTTGTGTTTCCACTTGGACTATTTTTACTATTAAAACCATCATTTAACTATATCCTGGGTTTTCTGCTGCTGCTTCACCACCAGTATACCAGCATCTCTTGATAGAGTGAAGCTATGACAAAAACAAACTGAAAAACATGTGATCCTGGAATAATCCTGGAATAATCCTGGAATAATCCTGGAATAATCCCAGCTTCCATCTTTAAAGGAGAGAAGAAGAAAAAGTTTCCAAGGACTCAATCAGAATCATTTCACAAGAAATAGATTGTAGAGACTGAACTATCTGTTCAACAGTGAGAGAGTTTCTCTGACAGGAGGAAAAACTTTAGACTCTTTAGACTCAAATCAGCTCAGAAACACTGAAGAACCAGAACTGGACCACCAGAAAATCCAGGAATCAGAGGTTCAGTGAATGTGGTGTTGAAGGTGTGGAGGAGGATCAGTGAGTCAGAGGAGACTCTGTAGAAGGACAGAATGCCAGCAGGACAGTCCACATACACTGCTACTCTGTTAGAGACAGAGGAGGAGGAGAGACGAGTTTCTATGTTATTGTGACAGACAGATAACCATGACGATCAGAGCATCAGACTCCAGGAATGATCATTAATCCAAACAACAGTCTCATGCCTTTCCTCTGATTCTTCTGTAACTCACTGATATATAAACATTCCTCTCCACTCAACCTCCAGTAACAGCGACCAGTCAGACCAGTTCTACACAGCAGCTGATGATATCAAATCTGTCTGGATGATCAGGATATGACTGAAGCTCCTTCACACATGTCACCTTCCTGTTGTCTTCAGACAGTTTGAGTTTTCTGTTCACTGTGTTTGTGTCGATGGTGAGTTGACAGGAATCTGATGGAGAACAAACACAATCCAGCTGCAGTTATTGATCATTTATTGACACTTTGACTCCTGAATGAGTGATGTGACAGTTTGAAGATGGTTGAATGTGAGCTGCTTTGTTGTCATGAATCAGATGAAAAACACACTTACATCCTCAGACCTGGAGTCAAGAATCGGCCTCCAGCAGGCTCCACCCTGAAAGGAGGAGGGGGGTCAGACCATCAGTCTCTTTCAGCAGCAAACATGGACATTACATGTCTTTCAGACACACATTGTCCTCCACTGAGACAGGAACAGTCCAACATCTGGATTGCAAACTGCAGTGGATGTAGGAAGGACAGTTGGTGCTGCTGCAGCACAACTCATTTCTCCAAACACAGGAAAAGCTCCAACAGAGAGGAGAAAGGAAATCCCTCAGTAACAACCTGAAGAAACTCACTGAAGCCTAAAAGGACATCAGGAAACTAAGGAAACATTTCTGGAAGCTCCACCTGATTTAA